GTCTACAACTGTACCTCATGGTGTTTCACTAATAAAAAAATTTTTTTAGAAATGTCTTGATCAGTGTATAACTGAAACCCAAGCACAAAAAATTTAGAAGTCTATAACTGTACTTCATGGTGTTTCACTAATAAAAAAAAATGATAAAAAAAAGTCTTAAGGCTTATTACTATATTTTTAAAACAGAGTTAAATTTAGATTGTATTAATCAACTTCTCAATACTCCCAGTCACTTTACTGTGCACAGTAGATTAATGTCCCTTTTGGAAATGTTTGGTTTCGTAGTTTTTTCTTGATTAGTACGAAATGTGCATTTTAGAACTGAGCTTAAAATATTTCATTTTAAAAGCCAAGGCATCTGACTTTATCATAAAACAAAAACAATCAATAAAACAGTACTAACCACAAAACATATAAAAGCACAGTGACTACTGTAGCATTTGTAAATATGAAGGAGAAAGGCTTAATTGTGGTTTTGTTTTTTATTTTTTTATTCTTAATGTGTGTTTGGCTACAGGACTTGTTTTTGAGCCATCCCCAGTGGTGTTCAGGGATGACTCGTGGCTCTGTGATCAGGGATCATTCCTGGCTGGGGCGGGGGGGGAAGCTGGGAGATCATAGGGGTGCTGGGGATTGAGCCCAGGTAGACCACATGTGCAATGCAAATGCCCTACCCACTGTACTACCACTCGGCACCAAGAGGACATTAAAGGCATCTCTGTAGAGTAGAAAAGATGCTAAGTGTCAAAAGATTTGGTTTCTTGATAACATGAAGGGAAAACAGCTGCAGTTTCCTGACCAGCAATGAAGAGAGTCACAGAGACCCAAAGTGATTAAGAAATACCAAGCTCTTAGTGGCCAGTCGGGCATTCTAGAGGAAAGGGCAGCTCAGATAGAGAAGGGAGCACCAAATAAAGGGTGTTTGGAGGATCCTCCCAGGAGGGGAGATGCATGTCGAAAGTGGACTATGGACTGAACATGTTTGCCACTCAATGCCTCTTTTGCAGACCACAACACCCAAAAGGAGAGAGAGAACACAGGGGATTGCCCTGCCACAGAGGCAGGGGGGGGAGGGGGGGATGGAGGTGGGTGGGATATTATCCATGGTGGTGGAAAATGGGCACTGGTGGAGGGATGGGTATCTGATCATTGTATAATCAAACCCAAGCACAAAAAATTGTAAATCTACAACTGTACCTCATGGTGTTTCACTAATAAAAAAAAAAATTTAAAAAAAAGAAAGAAATACCAAGCTCGCTTCCAGTTTCCTAACTGGTAGAAATGGCTGGATGAAATGACATGATAAGAAATGACATGATGAAAGCATAATAACACAAAATTAAATAACAAGGCTACCAACTCACAAGTCTGATGCATCACTTTCCTCATAAAATACATTTCTCTAAATTCTACTCCTCCTCCTTCACGCCCTATGAGGTCATGAGTTGCCCCGCACGAGGGGCTCTCCAGCAGGGCCATGGCTCCAGAAGCACAAGGACTTAATGCAGAGCTCGGCAGCTTGTGGCAGAAAAGTGAATGGACTATGCGTGGATTCACAACACCATGCCAGCCCGGAGGGGAAAGGGTGTTGCTCCCTTCCGCCTTTTTCCCTCTGCACAGCAAGAAGGCAGCGCCTCGGAGCTTTTTGGAAAGCCAGATATGAGCCGGTCGTGGCGGGGCGACTGAAACCTCATGGGAAGGGGGGCGTTCCCGGCTTGTCCTTCACGCCCCACTGAGGTCACGAGTTGCCCCCCACAAGTGGCTCTCCGGCACGGCTATGGCTCCAGAGCCACAGAAACCAATCTCATAATTATCGGACTCTCGGCAGAAATACTTCCAGGCTTAATAAGTAAAATACCAGAAATCCAAAATCGCGTGGCCACGACATCATTTGGTTCTTGTAGAAAACAAATTCTTTCACAATGCCTTTTCAGCAGGTCTGACTTTGGGGTGTAAACTCTAAATAATAATGGTGCATCTTTTGTCAAAACAATGAATCAAATCAAAGTAGATAGAGTGTTAACTAGAATTCATCTGCCTCACAGGCATTGGGAGGGTTGAGGGGGGTAGTATATTGGAGTTCTTGGTGGTGAAAAATAAGTACTGGTGAAGGGAAATGTGTTTGATGATTGCATGACTGAGACTTAAACCTGAAAGCTTAGCAACTTTTCCCACAGTGATTCAATAAATAAGGAAAACAAAATTCTACTCCTCTTTAACATTAACACAGAACCCTAAGAAAACAGACTCACATTCCAGGATCAGAGAAAGTTGCAACCTGTCGCTTGTAATAAAATGGGAGCGCCATGAGAGCAAACTGGTATAGATATAAATGCAAATAATTTCCCTCTTCTATTTTCCTCTACCTCTCCTAAAGTTACTACCAATTACCAAATAAAGAGTGTTACTATATTTATGTGTATGACCATATTTATAAATGTATATACATATAAAACCCTAACATTTATATATTCTATTATCACAAATCATCCTGTTATTCGTCGATTGGCTCGAGCAGGCCCCAGTAACGTCTCTTTCATCCTAGCCCTGAGATTATATTCAAGGCTATTTAGGAGAATGAGACCCATCATTGTTACTGGTATTTGGCATATTGGGTACGCCACGGGGAGTTTGCCAGACTCTGACGTGTATTCTATTATAATCATCACAAATTCTTTTTTAGATAGAAAGTATACCAAGGGTTTTTTTTTTAGGGTTTTTTTTTTTTTGGTGCTATTGTTGTTTGTTATTTTGAGTCACTGCTGATGGTGCTCAGAACTTATTCCGTGTTCAGAAAATCACTTTCTGGTGGAGCACAGCCACATAAAAAAATTTTTAAAGTTCTCTCCCCAACCACATATCAGCTAGTGTGCAAAGATAAAGCACCACATTTCCACACAGAAGCACTATTCATGCTATAAACAGGGCTGGAAGATATACAGCAGGGGATAAGGCACTCCTGAGCACTGAACAGGAACAGACCCTGACCACCATCAGATGTGGGTCCTCCCCACAAAAAAGACAAATCACACTATAAATAAAAGCCCCAGATAAGTGGGAAACATGTGTTGTAAATGAAAAGTTTGTTCTGAAGGAAAGGCTCCAATTTAACCATATTTTGGAATATTTGATTCTTTGGAAGAAAAACGATTATCTGACTTTATATGAAAGTGACTATTAAAAACATCACTTTTACAAAGTCCATCTGATTCCATCTGACAAAAATAAATATAACAGTTTAGAATATTATTGAAGTGTCTGTAACCATGTCAAGTATGTGGATGTCAAGTAAGACTACAGACATTAACTATAACAAATATTAAATCTTTCCACTAATTATAAACAATATCCACTTTAAAACATTGAACACTATACACTTTTTTCACTTTTACAATAGCAGTGGCTGAAGATTATTTTCACATAAATATCTCAATAGCCTATAAAATGTATAAGAATGCCAAAGCTCTTAAAAATAGCAAAGGCTGGAGAGATAGTACAGTGGATAGGCCTTGCATGCAACCAACCCGGGTTTGATATTCAGCTTCCCAAGTGGTCCCCAAGCACCTCCAGGAGTAATTCCTGAGAGCAGAGCCAGAAGTAACCCTAAGTATCACTGGGTATGGCCCAAAAATAAGCAAACAAACAAAAATATAGCAAGTGTGAAATAAAACACTTTTTAGATCTTATCCAGAGACTATAAAACAAAGCTCCCAGGAGAGAGTAACGCAGTATTTCCATCCCTCTCGGAGAGCCTGATAAGCTACCGAGAGTGTCCTGCCTACGTGGCAGAGCCTGGCAAGCTACCCATAGCGAATTCAATATGCCAAAAACAGTAACAATAACGGGTCTCATTCCCCTGACCCTGAATGAGCCTCCAATACGGCAGAGCTGGGAAGGACGAGAGGAGAAGCTGTTAAACTCTCAGGGCTGGGACAAATGCAGACGTTACCGGTGCCCACTCAAGCAAGTTGATGAACAATGGGATGACAGTGCTACAGTGCTACAAGTCATTTATTATACTAGAAACTCAAGTAAATAAAATTGATTTTACATAACGTTAGGGGCTGGAGCGATAGCACAGCGGGTAGGGCGTTCGCCTTACAAGTGGCCAACATGGCCGACCCGAGTTCGATTCCTCCGCCCCTCTCGGAGAGCCCGGCAAGCTACCGAGAGTATTCGATATGCCAGACACAGTAACAACAAAGTCTCCAATGGAGACGTTACTGGGCCCGCTCGAGCAAATCGACGATCAACGGGAGGGCCTTTACCTTTACCTTTACATAACGTCAGTAGATAAGACCAATATTTACACACTAAAATAAGCTTGACAAGGTAATATCTATTTTATATAGACATTAATATAAAAAGTATCAGTTGAAAACAATAAGAACTAAATTATTGGGGAACTAAAGCAAACTGAAAGTGAACTGTGTGAATCTAATTAAGAATGAGGTCAATCTAATCAGATCAAAGTTGAAAACTATAAGTCAAGCAACCAGAATCCTACATCACAGCATTCATTTTGTAATCCCAGTATTAAAACTATACAGATTTGTTTTAGTTTAATAATTAGAATGATTTTAGTTTAATAATTCATCTCTATTACTTTTGGAAAGGAGAAAAAACAGAAATCAGCCATTCAGTTGACTATCTCAGACCTAGCTTATCTAACTTAAACCAATCAGAAGTGAAAAAACACAGTAAGTTAACCATCTCTGAAAAGCTATTTGCACTATTATTCCACTAATTCATACACCCCAACCAAAGCATAAAGGACACATTTTTGTAATAGTTTAAACATAGAAATTATGGAAGAAAACCCTGAAGCTAGCTGCTTCCTTGAGCATTAAGCTAATTAGTTGTACAGTGCACGTTTCTTTGAGGATATAAATATTAAAGCTTTAAGACATTTGAAGATAAGCACAAATTTAACATTTCAAAACAACTCTGCAAGTGCATCTGAAATAAAGATCCTCACTCAGCCAACATTACAGTCATACCTTGCAAACTGTCTCCACATCCCAAGGTATTATGGTTCTCAGATCAATGATTTCACACGACACTCCCAGCTTTTCTTGAGCCATGGAAGCTACCTCTCGGATCACATGAACCTGTAATAGGAGAAAAGCAAGCAAAAGATGACTAGAGTCATGCCAGGAAACTTACCGCAAAAGGAGAAAAAACCAAAATCAAAGACTCAAAAGCCTATGGTCAAGTTGGAGCGATAGCACAGAGGGGAGGGTCTCTGCCTTGCATGAGGCCGGCCCGGGATGGATTCCCAGCATCCCATATGTTCCCCCGAGCACCACCCGGAGTAATTCCTGAGTGCATGAGCCAGAAGTAACCCCTGAGCATTGTCGGGTGTGACCCAAAAAAAAAAAAACAGCCTATGGTCAATGAGTCTTGAGCTCCCTCTTTTAAAACTAGAGCAATGTGACAAGTACCAGGGAAAGCTGATGTAGATAAGTGAGGTTCATCGCAGAAAAAAAAAAGGCATGGAATTCTGTATCTAGTCCATTCATACAGCCAGTAAGGCCATTATAAACAACAGCAACAAATGGGATGAAAAAGACAGCAATTCCTTTACAGCAGTCAGTAAAAAGTCTGTAATGTGTGCTTCCAAAGGAAAAAAAAATTATTTTTTAATTTTTATTAGTGAGACATCATGAGGTACAGTTGTAGACTTACAAATTTTTGTGCTTGGGTTTCAATTATACAATGATCAAATACCCATCCCTCCACCGGTGCCCATTTCCCACCACCACAAATCCCAGGATCCCTCCCACCCCCATTCCCCACTCCCACCCTGCCTCCGTGACAAGGCGGACATTCCCTTTTGTTCTCTCTCTCTTTTATTGGGTGTTGTGGTTTGGAAAAGAGGCAATGGGTGACAATCATGTTCGGTCTATAGTTACTTTCAGCATGCATCTCCCATCCTGGGAGGATCCTCCCAACACCCTTTATTTGGTGCTCCCTTCTCTATCTGAGCTCCCTTTTCCCCTAGCATGTGTGGTTGGCCTCCACGCCATGGAGTAAAATTCCTGGTACTAATCTCGGCCATTCTTGGGTGTTAGTCTCCTATTTTGTTACTTTATGTCCAAAGGAAAAATTTTTAATGAATACATTTTTGCAAATGCAATATATTTTTAATGGATTCGTTAAATATTAAATATTATTATTTAATATTAATATTCTAAATTAAATTCAATATTAATTTATTTTAATTGTATATTTAATTAATTTAATATTAATATTCAATATTAAATATTCAACATTAAATATTCAAAAATACATGTATATCCAAATATGATGAAATGGAACCTCCACCCTCGGTTAGAAATCAGTACTAGTTACCAATGTATCAATAAATAGATTTAAATTTGAGACATACAAAAAAATATCAATTCCTCACTGTATCAGGATTAAAAATAAAAGCTTCCAAGCACAATGGGGACAACACATGGTACCACAGTTACTGACCTGGGTGCCCCAGGCAACCAGAGTGACATCACTCCCTTCCTGTATAACTTCAGCCTGCGACAGGGGGATGTTGTAGGGTTCCACTGGAACCTGTTCCACTGAAAAGGAAATAAGGAAAGAAACAAAAGGTTAAGTTCTCATGAGACATGTGTACACAAAAGAACGTAAGAACCACACTGTGTTAAAGCTTTCATTTATCCTTCCCCAAAACGTCACCGAACTTATAAGAAAAATAACATTTATTATATGACCCATGACATTATAACACAGATAAAAAAAATATAATAAAGTCTATCAGCAACCCTGGAATTAAGGTCTATCAGCAACCCTGGAATTAAGTGTATTTTAGGAAAAAATTAGGAAGATCTTAACAAAATATGTCAATATTTTATCAATCATCATTATTTATCAAGTATCATTAGTTATGATAATTCACAATCACGATCACAGTCATCCTGTTGTTCATCGATTGCCTCAAGCAGGCACCAGTAACGTCTCCTTCGTCCTAGCCCTGAGACTTTTTAAAAAGTGCCATATTCAAGGCTCTTTCAGGGTTAGGAGAATGAGACCCATCATTGTTACTGGTATGTGGCATATTGGGTATGCCACATTATGATAAGTAACATCTTTAATGTCAATATTAATATTAACATTATTAGCATTAGTCAATAATGTGTCAATATCAGTTCATTAATATAATAAATGTATTATACTAATATAATATTTAATAACAGGAAACTGGCTGTAAGTTTTTTACTATCAACTTTTCATATAAATCTAAGACTAATCTTCAAAATCAGCTTAAGACACTGGAGAGGACAAGCATGCATGATGCCTTCATTGCACCACTCTCCAGGTTCAATCCCCAACAGTCCATGCCCCTCCCCTGCCAGTCCCAAGTTATGTGCCCTGGTGGCCCCCAGAACCATGAGGCCCTAGCAGTACCACATTACCAGACCCAAGCACTGGTTCCTGAAGTCAGCACTGCTGACCCAAGTATCACCAGGAGTGGCACCTGGGGCCACAAAGCACCAGCTGGGGGGATTCCACCTCTCCCCAATTTTTTCTTGAATTTATGGGTCAGGAGATAAGACTGGAGTTAGAGCACACGCTTTGCATTCATGGGGCTTTAGATCAATCCCCAGCACCACAAGGTCAACTGAGCATCACTGGGGTGGGTCCTGGCAGCCCCCAAGTAGAGTCAGGTAGTACCATGGTGGTCTCTGGCACCATCGGCCCTTATAGTACAAAATCCTCAGGCCCTAGCAATTGCCAATCTCTTAGCCAACAATTACCAGGACCTGAACAACACTTGAAAAATCCCCCACCAAAAAAAAAAAAAAAATGCAATACAGCTACTAAAATTTAAATGAACTAAATTAAGTTCTCTAACTAATTTCTCTACCAAGGAGAAAATTCCAGGTAAGGTTTGGGTTTTTTCTTTTTCTACATTTTTGTTCAAAGTGTAAATTTAAACACTTTTTCAACCATAACGACTGAAAATACCTTAATTTTTTTCAAATTTGAATCCTGAAAGTCTCAAGGAGATAAACTCAATCAGTTTCACCAGACCAAAATGAAAAACTATTGGCAATCCAGACAAAACAATTTCATTGTTCTCACAATCAAGTACATGCAATATGGGGTTAATTAAATCCAAGAGGCTATCAAAAAGCTTATTTTTAAATTAAAATTGAGGTAAAGTTGATAAATTACCCTATTATAAGCCTGTCTCAATTCTCAATTTTTACCAGAAAGCAGTGAAAATGAGAAGAAAAAATGACACCTCTGAATTTCCTAATTTTGTCAGCCAAGTAGAATCACAGCAAATCTGATGGGGAAAGTTGCATAGAAGACAACCAAACACAATGAGTGAAAACAACGACACAGAAAGCTCAATTAGCACCAACCAGCCCAAAAAGTCTTCAGACACGACTTTAGTAACACCATTGTGAGATAAGGTAAAGGTAAAGGTAAAGGCCCTCCCGTTGATCGTCGATTTGCTCGAGCGGGCCCAGTAACGTCTCCATTGGAGACTTTGTTGTTACTGTGTCTGGCATATCGAATACTCTCGGTAGCTTGCCGGGCTCTCCAAGAGGGGCGGAGGAATCGAACTCGGGTCGGCTATGTTGGCCGCTTGTAAGGTGGACGCCCTACCCACTGTGTTATCCCAAAGCGACTTTTAGTGATCTTAGTTTTGATAATTCCATTTGCGTTTGGGTTATAACAAACAATATGAAGTAAATTTTTTGTCCCTGCGAAGAGGTCAGGCTGAGGTGATGGGTGAAAAACATTGGTGGAGAGAAGGTCACTCACTGATAGTGGAACTGGTGTTGGAACATTTAATGCCTGAAACAACTGTATTATGAATAACTTGGTAAATCATGGTGTTATAATAAAAAAATCAATAATAAATTGTGTTAAAAGAAAAATGAAGGTAACCCTATACTCCCAAATCAGATTTCCAACTCTTGTCAGAAGTATTCAATGCTAACAATTACCTGAGTATCTGCAGAGGCCAGCTGTCATTATTTCTGGCACTGTAAGTTTTTATTCTCATCTCCACTTGGGAAATGACCTGTGGTCTTTGTCCACACAGTACCAAGGTTCACATTATCTTTCCCAGCTTTCCACTGCTCAAAACATGGACTCTATAATCAAGTGCACCCAGATTCAATTAGAAGCCAATGACTCAAAAGGCAAGAGTTATCCAGAATCCATTCTAGAATATGAGTCACACTGGAAGCAGATCCAGGTCCAGACTCAACAGCATGATGTAGACTGCAAGCTACATCCACTGGTGATGTAGACTGCAATTTTACATCCACTAGTGCATCTTTGCAAACTAGTTATGCAGTGGATCTCTGGGGTGTAGTATCAAGATGACTAACCTATAAGACTAGTCTATAAGATTAGCTCTGTGGCACTCCAGTGATCTGAACTATTAATAACTCTTTTCGAGGCAGCTCAGGTAGAGAAGGGAGCACCAAATAAAGGGTGTTGGGAGGATCCTCCCAGGATGGGAGAAGCATGCTGAAAGTAGACTCTAGACCGAAAACGACTGCCACTCAATGCCTCTTTTGCAAACCAGGGCACCTAAAAGGAGAGAGAGAACAAAGGGGAATGCCCTGCCACAGAGGCAGGGTGGGATAGGGAGCTGGAGGGGTGGGAGGGATACTGGGATTGGTGGGGGTGGAGAATGGGCACTGGTGGAGGGATGGGTATTCAATCATTGTATAACTGAAACCCAAGCACAAAAATTTGTAAGTCTACAACTGTACCTCAGGGTGTTTCACTAATAAAGATTAAAAAATAAATAAATAAATAAAATTTAAAAAAACCCTTAAACTGAAAGAAAAATAATAACTCTTTTCTATCTCTACTAGTCAAGTTCATCTGTCCTACTTGAAATTAGTAACACTTATTCAGTAACTTTTCAGCTATTTACAATATGCAAAAATACAAATGCACAGATATGTGCATTTCTCTTTTCTTTATACAAACAGAACATACTGTATGCAGTCTAAAACCTTTCCACAATGTTTTTCATTTTCATTTCATTTCATTTCATCATCCTGTTATTCGTCGATTGCCTCGAGCAGGCCCCAGTAACGTCTCTTTCATCCTAGCCCTGAGATTATATTCAAGGCTATTTAGGAGAATGAGACCCATCATTGTTACTGGTATTTGGCATATTTGGTAGGCCACGGGGAGTTTGCCAGACTCTGCCCTATGGGCAGGCTACATTCGATAGCCTGCAAGTTTGTCCAAAGTAGGAATAAGACAATAAGACAATGTTTTTCACGAAGAGATATTTATTAAACGTGTTGTCATGCCAAAAACAGCTTTGTCTTATAAATATAATATTTAAACTACCATATTTAATATTGCAATCATTAAAAACACAGTAGCACTGGACTGTAGCCCTGTCTTCCTACTGTTCATCAATTTGCTCGAGCGGGCCCAGTAACGTCTCCATTGTGAGACTTGCTGCTACTGTGTTTGGCATATCGTCACGGGTAACTTGCGAGGCTTTGCCATGTGGGCGAGATACTCTCAGTAGCTTGCCAGGCTCTCCGAGAGGGGAGAAGGAATCAAACCCGGGTTTGCTGGGCCGGCCGCATGCAAGGCAAACGCCCTACCACTGTGCTATCTCTCTAGCCCACAAACACAGTTAGATTCTTTTATTTGGGGCATTTTAAATATTTCAGTCTAATGACATTTGCATAGGCAATGTTAATACCAGAGAAAGATGATTATTTTAAATAAATCTTTTAAACAAAATAGTAAAACCTAAAAAAATTACTTTTCTGGGCAAGGCACAGAGCAGAGGACAAAGTAAACTGAGAGATATAGTGTATTAGAAAATTCCAGCCTTCAAAGCAATATTTAAGTTTTTGTGTAGTACACGAACAAGACTGAATCAGATACTTTTGCATCTGGACTAGTCATGTTTAACTTTTAAGTAACCTACTCTAGTGTCACTTATTAATTCAAATTATGGCAATAATAATATTAATAAACACTGCTTGCTATATGATTTTTAAGAGTTCTAATAGTGGATTGGTTGCTGATAACTAACAGTATTATTCCTTTTCCTTTTAAATTTTATTGGCAGGTCTGAATGCTGGGGAAAATTTCAAATAATAATAGTGGATCTTTTGTCATAATACTGCATGTGATCAACATAGAGAGAGAATAAAGTGGAAATCTGCCACACAGGCAGGGGGAGGGGTAGGAGGGGGGTATACTGGAGCTCTTGGTGCTGGAAAATGTGCACTGGTGAAGAGATGGGTGTTTGATCATTGTGTGACCGACCGAGACTTAAACTGAAAGGCTTTGTGACTCTTCTCACAGTAATTCAATAAATAAAATTTTTTTAAATAACAAATAAATAAATTTTATCGGGGTAGGATGAGATTCTAACAAGTTTCACTGTGCATTTACGTCTGTGTATGTGCATGAAGACTGTGTAAACATTTTCTTGAAACACAACCACTTCCAACTCATTTCTATACTGTCTCTGGCTGGTCTTGCCCTAAAGCAACTGAACTTAAAATATTTTTTATCTGCAAATTTATTCCAGAGAAATTTACCA